TATTAGATGGCAAGTTTTTCCTCTTTCCTCAGACACTGCATCTCTGTATCCCTCCTTTACCCCTCCCAATACACCACACACACACACACACACACACACACACACACACACACACACAGTGAAAAGAACCTAAATAGGACAGGCTTAGAATGAACACTCACACACAAATACACACACCACAGGTAAACTTGAGCAGGCTCCATCTTTCCATTTAAGAAATAAAGATAATGAAACATCTTTTGTTTCTTCATGGGAATCACATTAAGTAAGGACAAGTGGGTGGTTCAGGGTAACTTCTCGAAGGTTAGTTCTTCCAGGCTCTCTTCTCCCTACCTCCTCCCTGAACTGAGTCCATTTGCCCACACAGCATTCCAAACCCTTTGACATGTTGCGCAAAGAAGCATGATAACCATTATCTTGCTTCCTTTAGAAGCAGCACGTACCTGGAGATCAAGATATTGCAAGGAAAGGAGAGAGTACAAAATACATGGTGAGCATGTTTGCTGCTAATACCTATCTGCCAAGACATTTGCACTGAAAATCATAATTTAAATCTGCTGAAGCTGTGCATATGGACCTGGAGGGCAGAAGCTAACAAGGTGGTAGAGTTATGTTTTTATGAGGAACTTGGCTAAATAATACCAAGCTGCAGCCAGGAAGTATATTTCCCTGCACCCTATTTTAAAAGTATCTTAGTGGTTTGCATCTGACCTAAGTAATATTCAAGCTGTTCAGTGGCTGCGACAGGACCACATTTCTCTTAGACCAACTCTGCTTCACTGCTTATAAACCAAAACAACACATGATGAAAAAAGAAACTTAAAAACTAAATTTGAGATTCAGCCTACATTTTTAGCAAAAGTCTCCTTTATGACAATCTTCTAGATAAAAAAAAATTCAGTATTATTTGGTTGATGAAAGTCAGTATTATTTGGTTGATGAAAACTTTAAAAATTTTTTTTGCAATGGCTTTGAATGCCATACACTAATTTAAAATTTAGAATCTGAAGGGTTAGATGGAAATTTCTAGTAGCTTTTCATCATGTTTGTTAGAAGCTGAAATATCTTTTCCCATATTATATCAGAATACAAGGTCCAATTACTTAGTAGAAAAACAGCCAAACTGCTGTTCTAATTGATCAGAGTTAAAACTATTCTTATTGAAAGATTTTGCCGTAGACCAAATAGCCAATAAACAGTAACTGGTTGGTTTGGTAAATGCACAACCCAAATTGCATGACATCCTGCAGGATGCACTTTCCAGATGCTACATGATGTGCCAGCTCTGGGGGAGACCCTGACACAGTGAGACCCACTCCTTGCTGAAACGTCTAATGGAAAGGGCGTTTCATAAAGATATAATTTCACTTGCTACTGTTTTCAGCTGAAAGAGAGAGAGAGTGTACACAGGAAGGGGCACTTAGCTCAACCTGGGGCATTCAAAGCAGGTTTCCTTAAAAGACAACACAAGTTGAGTCTTGACAACTGAGAGAAAATTAGCCAGGTAGCAGGCGTTCCAGAAAGAGTAACAGCTTGATAAAGACACAGCAGCCTAAACTGCATTGGAAAAATGTAGTCCTTGGTGGGATGTGGAGACACAGATACAACAGGGAACCCAGGTCTCTGAGGTCTTCATTCAGCCTGATGAAGGAGTTAATAATAAGCAAATCAGGTATTTATTGGGCACTTACTAGGTTGCACACTATGTTAAGCACTTGAAAACTTTATTTTATTTAATCCTCACCTTTATATCCCCATTTTACAGATATGAGAGCTAGAAATTACAGAGACTGAGACAGGCTACACAGTCAATGAATGGGAGGTGGCTTTGGAATTCAAGATGGCTTGATATCATGGCTTGTACCCTACAGTATTCTACCTCCAGACTATCCCCAAAGAAAAGACTAAGTGGACACATTGGGTCCATTATACTGGCTACAGAACAGAGAAGGGGTTCATGGGTGGCCCAATTGTTTATCTATAGAGACTAAAAAAAGGGGAAAAAAAAGAGTGAGAATAAATCAATTCAAAAATACAGTCAGAGGTACTGAAAAGGAAATAATCCACATAAACATTAGCTTAGCACATTTAACAACAACAACAACAAAAATGGGCTTTTGAAAACAAGACCAAGAAAATATAAGGACAGTTTACATCAATGTTTCCATGTACACAGGGTTAAAATATATACCCCTTTCTTTGCTTGGAACACACTGCCATCAACTCAGTGAGGACAAAGACCAGGCTTGTCTTATACATTCAGGATGGAGTCTCCAGATCTGAGCTCCCTACCTGGCAGAAGGAAATACTCAATAAGTATTGTTAAGAAGGAAGAATAAGAAATAGCCACTTTTTACAATGTCACTGATGTCATTATTGATTAGAAAAATAGAGTTAAAAACTAAACCTAAACAAAAATGTAAAAAGTCATGTTGATGAATGAAAAGTCATCAACAAAACATGTAACAGGTTGAATATACAGATAATGGTAAGGAATGGTCACCATGAAAGGCTAAGTCAAAAGAGAAGGTAATGGCCAGGTGTAGTGGCACAAGGCTGTAAAACCAGTGACTCAGGAGGCTGAGGTGGGAAGATCACAAGTTCAAGGCCAGCCTAGGCAGCTTAGGGAGACCTTGTCTCAAAATAATTATTAAAAAATAAAGGATCAGAGATATATCTCTGGGGTAAAGCACCCCTGGGATAAGAGAGAGAGAGAGAGAGAGAGAGAGAGAGAGAGAGA